ATCCCTGGAAAGTTGTTCCCCTGTTTCCAGCTTCATTAAGATATTGTTAATCCAATCCTCATCTGAGACACTTACTTCTGAGCCAGCTAATCTTTCAAATGAAGAGGCTGGGGCTGGAGCCTGACCCTTCGTTTTCCCCAGCAGAGAATCTTGATCCCGCAACAAACACTTCCACCAGTCACGTTTTGGTTCTGGTTTCTGGGTTTGTATGATATCAGAAAATTGGAACCCTGGTCTTTGGAGAGCCTTTGGGATCTGGGTCTGTAAGCCTGTTGCCATAGCTTGTGAAAACACATCCCTGGTTTTCTCCAAAAATATATTTTCTTGTCTTCCCATTAAACTTGTCATGAGGGGTTCTCCAAGAAGTTGGCTGCCCTGTGCTTTTTTCAAATCCAAAAGATCTGTCCCTTCCAGGGCCATTTCCTCTTTTCCCTCCAAGGCTCTCTGCAGTGGTATTTTGTCAGTAAGTCTGGAGTCTGTCTTTCCATCAAGCAAGTGCTCTTTTTTAAAAAGCCTTTTCCTTCTATCTGTACCCTCCCTTTCCTGAGCAGTACCCTCACTTTCTATCACTAGTTTGGGTAAGCCCATTGCTTTTGAAAGCTCTGATTTCAGCACTCTCTCATCTTCTGAAAGCATCACATCTGGAAGTCTGTACTGCTTTCCCTCCTCCTCACTGAGGCCCTCCTCCTCCTCCTCCTTCTCCTCCTCTTCTTCTTCTTCCTCCTCTTCCTCCTCCTCCTCCTCACTGAGGCTCTCTTCCTTCTCACTGAGGCTCTCTTCCTCTTCTTCCTCCTCTTCCTCTTCTTCCTCCTCCTCCTCTTCCTCTTCCTCCTCCTCACTGAGGCTCTCTTCCTTCTCCTCACTGAGGCCTTCCTTCTCCTCCTCCTCCTCACTGAGGCTCTCTTCCTTCTCCTCAATGAGGCCTTCCTCCTCCTCTTCCTCTTCCTCCTCCTCCTCACTGAGGCTCTCTTCCTTCTCCTCACTGAAGCCTTCCTCCTCCTCCTCCTCTTCCTCTTTCTCCTCCTCACTGAGGCTCTCCTCTTCTTTCTCACTCAGATACCCCCACTCTGCAGTAAGGCTCTGCTCCTCTTCACTTGGGCCCTCCTCCTTCTTACTCAGCATCCCTTTCTCCTTAGTCAATTTCTTTTTCTTTTGGGGGACCAAACTCTTTTTCCTATGCTTCTTAGCCAAGCTCTCCTCCAATTTCTCTTCACTTGGACTTACTATTTCCCTTTTCTTTTCTTTTATGAGATACTCTTTTTTCTTTTTCTTGGGAAGAACCTCTCTGATATCCTCCAATAACCACTTCACTTGGGTCTTTTCTGATTCATTTGCCTCAGTTTTCTCCAGAAGCTCCTGTAGCTGCTTTTTTCCTAACAGATTTTGCTCCTGAACCTTCTTTAATACAGTCTTTACTTGGATTTTATCAAGTGAAATCTTGTCCTGGACCTCCTCTAATAGCCTTTCCTCCACTCTCTCTTCATCAGTCAGTGTTCTGTCTTTGGTGGCCAGTCTGTCATCTTTTAGTTTTCTCTCTTTCTGAACCTGTTCTCTCTCTTCCCTGGTTACTTCCTTATGTGGGCTGAGGCTTTCAGTTTCACTTCTTCCCACAATAGGTGATCTCTCTTCCTCAGTTTTTTCTGTCTTCTCCAAAGGCATTTCTTTAATTATCCCAGCTAAAACTTGCAATAGTTGATTCTCTTGCATTTCTATATTTTTCTTCCTGGAACTAACCTTTTCTTCCTGTGAACTAATCCCCTTTTCTCTGTCAAGTTTCCTTATTGCCTGTATTCTTTTCTCTTTGGTTACTGTCTTTCCTTCAACAGTGTGCATCTCCTTGGTCCTAATGTCATAGGCCAAAGTCCTCTCTTCCGGGGACAATTTATTCTCTTCTTTCATAATTTTTCTCTCTTCTTTGGTTATTTTTTTCTTTCCCTTTATTGTCCCAGTGCCTTCTTTGGCTTTAGCCTCTTCTTTCTTAGCAATATGCCTCCTTTTCTTGGCCAGCATACTATCTTCTTCAGTCAATTTCTTTTCTAATGATCTTTTCTCTTTTTTCTTGGCCTCTTCTTTGTTTTGAAATTGTTTCTCCATTTCACCAGCCTGTACCTCTTCTTCTTCTTGGAACAGTCTCCTCTTTTCAAAGGCCTGTTGTTTATTTTGCTTAACTTCTTCCTCTTTCTGACCATGTATTTCTTTCTGGGCCAATTTCTCCTCTTGTAGGCCTAGTTTCTCTTTTCTTTGAGTCCACTTTTTTTCCTTCTCAGCTGTTCCCTCTTCTTTCTCAGGCTGTTTCTCCTTTTTCTTAGCTTGCTTTTCTTTTTCCATGACCTGTTTCTCTTTTCCTTGGAGTGTTTTTTCAATATCCATCATCATTTTCTCCTCTGGTGGGAGCAGTATCATTTTTTCTCTTGGCCTTTGTTTTATTTTCTCAACTTCTCCCTCCACTTTTTGAACCAGTGTCTGCTCTTCCCAGGGCCAATTCTTTTCCTCCCCAGTCTGTCTCTTTTCTTCCCAGTCCCATGGTTTTTCTTCTTGGGCTTCTTCTTCTTTCTGTGACCATTCCTTCATTTCTGCAGCCCTTTCCTCCTTTTCTAGGTCCACTTCCTCTTTTTCCCAGGACTGTTGTCTCTTTTCCTCAATTTTCTCTTTATGGGCCCTTCTTGCCTCTTTCCAAGATTTTCTTATCTTTTTCCAGGCCTGTTTATCTTCTTGTGACAACTTTTTCATTTCCCCAAACTTTTCATCCTCTTCTAGGTCCTGTTTCTTTCTTTTCTGGGCTAAATGTTTTTTCTCCTTCTCCTCTTTCTGAGCCAGACTCTCTTTCTTGTCTTTTTTTTTCTGTGCATCCTGTTTCCCAACTTGCTTTATCTTTTCTTGGATTTGTTTCTTTTTATGGGGCTTCTTTTCCTCTTTTGAAAGCCATTTCTTCTTTTCTTGGGCCAATTTATTCTTTTGCTTTGCTTGTTTGGGTTTTTTTTGATACCGGGAATCAAACTCAGGACCTTGCACTTGCCAGGCAGGCACCTGTGCCACTGAGCTGTATGCCCGGCCCTTCTCTTCCTTTGCTAACCTCTCCCTGTCTGATGCTTGTTTTCTGTCTTCCTCAGACAGTCCTTCCTCTTCTACAGACAGATAATCCAGGGACAATGTACCCAGTTTCCAGGCCTCTTCCTCCCCTTTCTCCTCTTTTTCCTCATCCTCTATAGGTTCCTCTTTTCCCCAGCTGTGTTTCTTCTTTTCATGGGACTGTTTCCTCCTTTCTCCAACTTGTTCTTCTATGCCCAGGGTCATTTCCTCCTCTTCCTCCCCTAGTTTACTTCCTGGGAATAACACCCCCTCTTCTCTGGCTTGTAAGCCTTCCTTGCGAGCCTGTATAATCTTTTCCTGGTTCCTTTCCAGCCTCCGTTTCCCCTCCTCTGAGATTATTTTCTTTCTTTTTCTAAGTAATTTCCTCTCTTTTGTAATTAGTCTCTTTTCTTCTTGGAGTAATTTCCTCTCTTTTGTAATTAGTCTCTTTTCTTCTTGGAGTACTTTCTTGTCTTTCATAGTTGATTTCCTTTGTTGGGGAGTAAGTACTTCTTTTTTCTGGGGCATTCTTTCTTCTGGGTATGTCCATTTCTTTTTATCCTTGGTCATTTTCTCTTTTTCTTGCATTGACATTTTCTCAGGCTTTGTCAGTTTTCTTTCTTTTTCAACTATTTTCCCTTCTTGCTTGTCTAGTTTCCTTACTGCCTTCTCAAATATTCCTTTCTCTAAGACTGGCTGATCATCTAACAAAAAAACTTTCTTCTTGACTTTTGGAGAAAATTTCACATGTTTCTCTCTCATTTTTTTAGCCTTTTGTTCTCTCAATACTACTGGCCCTTCATCACTGGTATCCCCTCTAACCACAGTTGCTGTTTTGGTAGATAGTTCTCCCACTTTTCTATAATGCCTTTTTGATGAAAATGGGCTTGAGTCCTTTAAAAGGGGACAGATTTCTTTGAAGAGATCCCAGCTGGGCTGTCGGTCAACAAGCACAACCTGAGCCAGGTCTACCAGTTCTTTACCCAGATCCCTTAGCATTCCTGGACAGGAGCTTGCTATCCTTGAGGTGACAAGATGGCAAATGTCATCCCGCCAAGACCTGATTTCTGGTTTAGCTACACGTCCAGGGGTCCCAGCTAAACCATGACCTTTTTTATGTTTCTTCTTTTCATCTGTTTCTGGTTCAGAAACCTGTATGATTTCTTCTTTAACTTCTTCCTTAGGCTCTTCTGTAGTGACCTCTGAGATAGTCTTTGAAGTCCTTTTCTCTTCCCACTTCTTCTCTGCTAATCTTTGGCCTTTTTTTGCTGCCCTTTTCCAAAGTCTTTTAATGTGTTCTTGTCTTTCTAGTTTAGCAGTCACTTCTCCAACATCTCTCATGCTATGTTGATCTGTTGTCTCTGTGTCCTCTGTGATCTCCACAGCTTCTGTGATCTCCTTGGCTTCTGTGGCCTCCAATATGCTCTTCTTTGATTCAGCGTCATCCTGGATTTCAACTGGACTGAAAGTACCAAGTGGCACCTCTGGTTCCAAGGCAACCTCCTCAGTGTCAGTTTGCTTTGATATCCTGACCTTTCTTTTTGCATCTGAATCCTCTGTAGTCACAACCTCAGAGCTAGCCTTTTTAAATTCTATTTTTCTATGTCTCCTGGCAACTTTCAGGGCTTTTTTAACTGCAGAGATAGTAAGAGAAACATAAGAAAAACATCAAAGTCTTAAGTGAGATCTTTTGTTGTATCTAATTCAGTAAACTGTTCTTAGAAATTTAAAAAAGTACCAAGGGCTAAGGCTTTATGATTTAGAAATGCTCATTCATTATCCCAGCTGCCATATCCTAAAGAAATAAGACTGTCCCTTGTGGGGTAATCTTTCTTAGGAAGCCTACATTCTGTGAATAAGATTCTCCCACTTAACTGTTCCCATTGGTATAATTTTGTATACCTTGGTCTTATTGGTTCTGCCTAATGAGATTGGTCCTAATCATACCCTATACATCACCCCATACATACTAAGTTCTTTGCTCTTTGCTTGAATGTATTTCCTTCTTTTCTTCAGTTCAATGATCTTTTCAGGTTCTGGCAAAGGTATGAATTTTTGTTCAGCAGTGAGCTCAACTTCTTCCTCTTTTGGTACAGTAAAAGCAAAAGTAAATGGTTTATCTTTATGTGACAAGGTCAAATTTTCATTTAGCCGCCACTGCACATGAGTAAGCATGCACCGGATATCACTAGCTTCAATCCCCAGCAGCTGGCCCAGAGATGCTTCCCCAATAATTTCCAGCCTACAAAAGTCAAACAGAAAAAAGGACAATACTGAGCTAATGATAAGACAGAAATATTTTTTAAAAGGAAGTTACAATGAGACATGGATAAAATAGTCATTGAAAACATAATAGAATAAAGTAAAAGATGGATACAGAAGAAAAAATGATAGATGGGCACAGGGGTGAATGCTCGTAATTCCAGCTCTCTTGGGAGGTTGAGGCAGGAGGATACCAGGTTTAAGCCTAGGCTGGGCAACTTAGCGAGACTTTGTTTCAAAAAGTAAAAAAGGGTTGGAATGTGGTGAAGAAGAAGAATGAGGAGGAGGAAGAGGAGGATGAAGATGAGGAGGAGGAGGAACAAAATGGGAGAAGGATAGGGAAAAAAGAGAGAAGATGACTGTAGTGTAGCTCAGTGGTAGAGCACTTACCTAGGATATGCAAGGCCTTGTGTTCAGTCCCAACACCACCAAAGAAGAAAGAAAAAAACCAGAAGAAGAAAGAATGAAGAATAGCAATGAATAGTCAAGGTGACATATACTTCTTTGGGAGAGTTGTGGATTTGAATAGTGAGGAATCTTAAGGAAGTGAGAAAATGATGGAAAATAGGATCCAGTGGTGAGAAGAAAAGAGGCAGATGTTAGGGGAAGACAGAAAATAGAAATAAGGAACAAGGGGAGAGGAAAGGAATAGAAAAGGGACTGGTAAAAGGTAAAAAGCAATCAAATTCTGGAAGTTAGGAATCAGAAGGAATCAGAAGAGGGGAGATCACCATTCAACTTACTGCATTTCCTGGAGAATTTCTTGTTTCTTCAGCAAGCGAATAAGCCCAGTCTTGGTTTGGATGCCTGTAACTCTTGTCATAAGGTATAACGCCTTAGTCCGCACACTCTTATCACTGTCCATCAATCCCATAGCCAGTGGAACAGCAAAAAGATGGCTCATAAAACCCAGTCGCTCTAGCAGCTCCCATGCTAGCTCACGGATATGTGAGTCATAATGGGTTGTATCTTTCAGTAAGCGACAAGCTACCTCAGTGCGCAACCTTGGAGATATTTGGTAGCTGGCAAATATTTGTTCCAGGATATCAAAATATTTCTTGTATTTCTCTACAGAACAATAAACTGTGAGGTTGAGAATGGTCTCTATTATGTTGTCAATTAACCGTTCACTAAATTTTCTCCTCACCCAATTTTGGTTTGTTGTGCTTTCAAGGACATTAAAGGAAGTTCTCTTTTGCTCCTTGGGTTTATCTTTCTGTTTACTCTTTGAGATACCTTCTTCTAGAGTCACAGATGATGATGATTGGGGTCTTAAGAATTCAGTCATGTCCAAGTCCTTATCTTGGTAGGGTAAGTACAGGTCATAGCGGAGGAAGATTGGGGTACCCTCAGGCCAAAGGGAGGCTCGGATCACTGAGTTGGGGATGTAGCAATCAGGAGCAAAGGGCCATTGCTTTCCTTTACCAAAAAAGCACTGTAACATGCGGTAGGGGTTGAATCCATCCCATCCGGCCAGCTGTAATTGAGCAGGAGCCACAAATGGGGGTCGATTATGCTTGGAGTCTGGAGTAGACAAATCAATACTTTTAGCCTCCAAAAGCTGCAAATTGGATATGTCTTCAACTGCAAGGGACATACGGCTCTCCTCTACAACATGGGGCACAGTATTATCAAAGGCAATGACGCGTTTGTTGACAAGGGTTTTTAGTCCCCGTAATTCCTGCACGCCTTGTTCCAGGTAGACAAATTTGGGTACAAATACCATTTCAAACAAAAAGAAGAAGCTAGGCAGGAAGGGCTTAGGAACTTCTTGTATTTCATCTACATTGTGTAGGCTACGTAGGTGAATCAGCCTAGCTGGAGGTAGCAATTTTAAACAGGATACTATGTAGATACTCTGGTTGATAGTCAAAAGCAGGTCACCCCGATTATTGGCAAAGCAGAGTGCTCCAAACTGCAGTGCTGAGTCCAGCTCAGTTATAAGTCTACCCCAGAAGTCCCAAATCCGGACTGAACCATCAATGGCCCCTGTGACAAAAAGTTTCAGGGAAAAGCAGACATCAAATGAAGTGACAGCACACTCATGCAGGCATTTTGTCTCTCCAAACCTAAAGCTTTGTTTTGATTCTGATGCAATCCGCAGGTCTTGATAGCACCAGAGACACCAGCCAGAGTTCTCACTGATAGCAGCCACACAACCTGGCAAAAGCATCATGTGTTTTAGGGGGCAACCACAGAGGACTTTGCTGACGGGCTGCAAGATAACCTTACTGTCTTGAAGTACAGCCTCTGTCAGGTGTATGATGTTATCTTTGCCATAGGAACAGAGTAAGGAGTTTTCTTGGGAACCTTCCAGGGTAGATAAGGACAACACTGCCCCAGTGTGGATAGTCTTCTCTATTTGCGCAAAACTGCAGTGGGAGAGGATTCTCACAATGCCACTTTCATATCCACAGAACATCAGTCCTTCTAGACCCTTACCCAAATGGGACCTCCCATAGGCCAGGCACCTTACTTTATCCCTAGGATTTTCTGAAGTACATACAAGATACTTGGCTGGGCAAGGAGAGCGTGTTGTATCAAAAACCAGCACCTCTGAGGTGTGTATTGCCACAAAGAGCTCCTCTCTGTTTGAGTCATAGGCCCATGCCACAGCCATACTCATGATAAGTAGAGGCCATGTGATAACCAGGAGTTCCCCTGTTACTGGAGACAGGAAACGCAATAAACCATCCTCAGTGACACACAAGATCCGAGTCCAATTATGGCCACAGCAGACCCGCTGCAGCTTCTTGGGAGCAGAACCACAGACATTGAACAGGCTATAAAAGTAGGGCAGGTGGTGCAGTGAGAAAGCAGAGGTACTCTGGCAGAAAAAAGTGGTGTTATCAATAAACTTCAGTTGCTGCAGATTCTCATCAATGCTCAGCTGCCTCAGCAAATTCCCAGAAGCAAGATTCCATTCCCTCAGTACACCTTCACCGCCTGCCGTTAGTAAAGTGTAGGTCTCCGGCCTACTATGGATACATACCACTGGTAAAGAGTGGGCCTGGAAGCTGTGGAGGAAGTTACTCTTATCTAAACTCCAAGCATGGATCTCTCCAGCTCCGTTTCCCGCGTAGAAAGTGCCCTGAGAGACACAAGCAAAGGAGCAAGTGATGGAGGAACCGCTGGTTACAAGGGTGAACTTCTTCACTTCTTTCAGCTGGCCCTGGCCCTGGTGGGTGAAGACACTCACCGCATTCTCACACAGAACCTGCAGGGAGCCCTGGGCACTATTCAGGGAAAAGCCCTGTACAAGCTCGCCACCAGACAGGGGCACTGTTTGAGCCATCCGAAGGCCCCTGCCATTTGGCAAAATAAACCAGGTAACGACAGCTCCCAAGATGCCAGACAGCAGCATCTCAGCTTCTGAGTCATAGCAGAGGCAGCTGATGGAGAAACGACAGGGCACTGTACCCAGAGGCAGGAATGCTTGATGGTGATCTCCGAAGAGCCTCAGGCGCATGTCACCACAGTAAGCAATTAGCATGTGGTGGGAACCTGTGTGGACCATTGCTTCGATGGGAGGCACCTGTTCCATCACGTGAAACTTCACCTTCTCAATCACTCCCTTCTTATCTGTACCTTTTTTCTGTATCCAAACCACTGCCTAGAAGAGAATGAGAGATGGAAGGCTGATCATGGAGGTGGATCATCTCCTGAAAGTATGCATTAGAAAAAGCCTGAATATTTGGATCCCTTATTCCCTTTTTTTTTTTTTTGGACTAAAGAAAGCTGGGACAGCTTGACTTTGGGAGTTTCCTACTATTAGGTGCTTGGTATGTGATAGAAACACCATCTTGAAGATCCTTTCCTTGGCCTTCATTCTACTTTTCAGGAAATGTGCATTTTGTGGGCCTGCATCCAGGTCAAACTGGATAGGGAGACGGGTACTCAGAAGAATTAATTTAGAATCACTGCCATCATTCTGAAATGAGGCCAGTGTAGGTGTGATGCTTGTAAATTAGATTAGGAAGGAGGAGAAAAAAATCATTGAAGTAGCATTACCTGCATTTGCTTTCCATACAGTTCCACCCAGTTTAAGGAGACAAAATAGTTGACATCGATGAAGTAGAAGCAGATAAAAGGCTTGTTCTGGGGATGGTGAGATTCTTGGTAGACAGTCTCAGGCCAGTCACTCAGAACAACCACATCATTGTTTATTCCTTCATCAGTCTGAGAGAGAAAAGTGACCTGAGCTAAAGAACCCGAGTCTCCACTTACTCATTCATTTAATAAATATTTGTTGAAGGGTTAGTTGAAGGGTTAGCGGATGGCTCAACAATTTAGCTAACTCGTGTTCATTCACCCTAATAGTGGAAAATATTTGGGGAATCATCCCTCCCTCACCCTCATCTTGCAATAGGATACAACCTTATTGATCAAAGTATCTTCTACAATTTCTTAACCAAGTTTCAAAAGAAAAGGAAGTCCCAGTCTTATAAGGTATCCATTCTATATAATGAATGGATTTTTCTCCTTGTTATCTAGTTATTGGCATTGAGAAAAATGATAAAACAGCCCCTCAAATACTTTTCAGCATTCCATGCTTCAGACACAGTAACAAGGTTGAAAACAGCTGATAGGTTCTACCAAATACACTGGCAGTACAATGCTAAGGGAAACAAACATGGCCTTGGATCCTAGGAATAAAGGGTCCTAGGGCAGGGGTACGGCTTAGAGTGCTTGACTAGCATGTGCAAGGCCCTGGATTTGATCCACAACACTACAGAAGCCAAATGAAATCAAACAAAGAAAGAAGAATCCAGTGTGGGCAAGAGATATTAAACAAGTCACAAGCAAATCTACAAGAGAAAAAAAAAAGGTGTAGTGGCCCATGTCTGAAATCCCAACCCTCTGGGAGACTGAGGCAGGAGGATTATGAGTTCAAGCCCAGCCTGGGCAACTGAAAAGACTTGATGAGACTCTGTTGTCTCAAAAAATAAAAAAGGGATGGAAGTGTAGCTCAGTGCTCTGGGCTCCATCGCCAGTACTAGAAAAGAAAAAAGAAAGTAAGTGCTTATAAAAGAAAAGATTACAATTGCATATGAATATGACAAAGGAACCCAACCATGGGAAGTAACTACATCTATCACAGTTGGAACAATTTTTCAGAGTTCCTGCCTGCAACCAAAGGACCAGTCTTATCACAATCACACCTGCATGATATATTGCCTAAGAAAACTCACACATCACAGACATGTAATAGAATGCTCACTGTAGCGAGATCCTGTGACTTGTACTTCCTTCACTATTCTTACATGTATAAAGGGAAATGGGTGCTCTTCACAACATCAGGTTTACTACTTCAGGTCTAAAATCCTGTATTCTGCCCCAATGGGGCATGTGTGTGTACACGCATATGTGTATCAAGGAAGATATATACCTTTAATGTGTTACACAGAACAATGCAACAAGTGCTATCTTCCAGTGATGCAGCATATCTTGACACATGTCCATAAACTCATACTGATCAGCCTAAACTGAGCCTCCTGAATTTTACTTTTGAGATCCACTATCTCAGCAGATACTTGTGCTACACCTGCTGCCTAAACAATGATGCATGAGTCTAACTCTCCAAGTTTCTATGCATCAGTATTTGTGCCCTGACCACAAAGCTGGAAAGTAAAATAGTAAATGAAACTGAAGTATGAACACTGCTTCATTTATATTGTCCATCATGTCTGCTTCCTGCAGCCACAAAGGATTTGAGACTCTAACTGAGGCCAATATCTGGAACTCAGAATCTCTATTCTCCCTGTATTTGTCATTTTTAGAGCTTGAGTTTTCTATTGTCATTTTTAATTCAGTGTCTACAGAGAATTGAGAGAAAGGACTCTGGGGTCCACATGTCATTCAGAAAGCTGAATCAGAAGGCTCATTTACATAACCTTATTATATGAGTTAATCACTATTCCTTTCCTCTTTCCCAACCTTTCTGTATAAACAGTCACTCACTGAACAATATTAAGGTGATTCCATAGAGAACACTAATAAAAAACTAAAAATATCTTTAAACACAAGCGATGTGTTTGTGTGTGACATTTTGATGCCTACTCTGTATCAGTTGTTTTCCCTCACTGTCCCTCCCTTCGTAGCTTGGGGTGATCATGGACCCAGCAATTCTGGCCACACAGAGTACTACGATGGTTCTCCAAAGCTGGCACAAGCCTGTGGCTCTCTGACCATCCTCCTTCTTCCTGCTTGGAATTTGAAGCTTATGCATGGAAGTACAGCAACTATCCTACAACCTTTATATAATATGCTAACATACTAAGGATGTTGGAAAACATAAAAAGAACATAGGTCCTCAATGACATGTAAGACAAGATGCCTCCTACTTGTTTGATTCATGTAAGTGCTTTTATAACCTGTAGGAGAAAGTATTCTAATTGTACCTAATGTTACCTTGATGTAGAAGTAGAGATTGTTTGGGGTGTAGGGGAGAACCTTGCCAAAGTTGTTCATATCTTTCCCATGTCACAGCCTTCTGGCAGGGACCTGGTTATTAGTCCAACCTGGCAAGGACAGATAATTAGTCCAAGTCCACAGTGTTCATAACTCTCATACACATCACCTTTATGTCCTTCAGAATCTCATTTATGAGGAATCTTAAGTCCTTCCACTGAGGAATAAGTCTCGATGAAGATGCTATCCCAGTGACATTCCAGCTCTTCACAAACATCATGGATCATAGAACCTATGGAAGGTAAAAAGAGTAACTGAATCTCAACATGTGAAGTTGGACTGCAAATTAAGAGAAATGAGAAAGAGGGAAGAGCAGGATAAGTTTAAGAGGTGGGAGCAGAAGACTTCTTTATCAATGAAAGAAGCTCCCTTGCTTTAAAAAGATAAGGGTAAGTTGGGGCATGGTAGTACACACCTGTAATCTCAGCACTCTAAGAACCCAAGGCAGGAGGCTCAAAAGTTTGAGCTCAACCTGGGCAACTTACCAAGACTCTATCTCAAAATAAAAAAGAAAAAAGGTCTGGGGGTGTAGTTCTGTGCAAAGGCTCTGGGTTCAATGCCCAGTACGAACACCAAAAAAAAAAAAAGAATGAGAATGAACTACTGATACAATACAGATGAACCTCAAAAACACACAGAGTACAAGAAGGAAGACATTAAAGAGCACATACTATAGGATTCCTTTTTTTTTTTTTTTTTGGTTTTTCTCCGGTACCGGGAACCGAACTCACGATGTTGTGCTTGCCAGGCAGGCACTTTGCCGCTGAGCTAAATCCCCAGCCCCTAGGATTCCATTTATATGAAATTCTAGAAAAGATAACCAGGCATAGAGGTATACATATGTAATCCCAGCTGCTTGGGAGGCTGACAGGAAGATCACAGGTGCAAGGCCAGCCTGGGCAATTTAGCAAGATCCTGTTTCAAAAAATTAAAAGGGCTGCAGACATAGCTCTTGCCTAGCATACATAAGCCCCTGGGTTCAGTCTCCAGTATCCCTCCCAACTCCTATACACACATTAAAATTACAGAGTGAAATACATGAGCCCTGGAGAAGAACTGTGTGTGAGAAGTCAGGAAAGAAACATCCAGAATTGTCCCTGGGTTTCTGGGCACGGTTCTGAATAAAATTTCATGAATTCCAGAATACTAAAGTTAAAGTAGGAACAAGTAAGAAGGAGAGAAGATCAGTTTGAAATATTCTTAAGTGACTATGGAATATTTGAATGAATACAACTGGGTAGGTGGGTCTAGAGATCAGGAAAAACTTTGATACTGGAGATAAATACATGGAAATGACCAACCTAAAAGGATAGCTGAAGGCATCTACCAGGAGGAAAATGCCCAGAGGAGAGTATGCAGCAGGAGAAGGAGACTTAATAACCAATTATGGGGAAGCATACTGAGAAGGAGCAACTACAGAGACAAGAAGTTCTAAGACCAGAGAAAGAATAGGTCAGCTAAGAGGAAGCAAGAAATGGAATCGGCAAATGGTAGCAGTGTCCTTAATGAGAAGAGCACCACAGTGATGATTCCTGAAAGCAGGCGAGAACTGAGGAATAAATGAAAGGGAAGAGACTCAAGACTACCGAAGTGCAGCTTTTCAAAGCTTAGAGATGCGAGGGAGAAGGGAAAGGAGAAGAGAGAAAGAAAGGGAGAGAGGTACAAAAGGATATGCAATCAAAGAAAGATTTTTAACTGCAAATTTTTTATTGTGAAGTTCACAAAACATGAGACTACTGTATTTCATTAACTTGCTACAAAATTTCTACATGCATATTCTGAATTTTTTTACTAACCTTATTGGAGACACTGGCTGGCGCAGAGGCCCTCCTTCACAATTCCTATTCCTAGAGCTCGGTGACTCTAAGCATTTGTTTTCCATCCAGCAAGAGTCAGTACCTAATTTCAATTCCTACCATAAAGTCTAAGTTCTCCCAAATCTTGCTTACAACTCTCTAGGACATGTATGAGAAGACTAACTATTGGGCTCTGCAAAGAAGGACTGTTTAAAATGAGAAAACCAAATATGTTTAAATGTCGAGGAAGAACCCAACAAAAAGAGAGAGTGAAAATACTGAGGAGACAGAATGGGCAGATGTGAAGAAGAATGAGATTAAATCTCACAGGGATTCCTTAAAGTTTCTTCTAGTAATTTAAGACTAGATGCTCTGGCTGGGGGAATGGGAGATGCTAGACACTTGGGTCTAAATCCTAGGCTGAGACTGCATTCCATCAAGTTTAAAATGAGAGCGAGACATTTCACTTTCTTCCCTCTTGACTGAAGAATATTCTCCTCTGTTTCCGTATAAAGCACTTAGAAAAACAAACTGAGATAATGAAATTTACAAGGCTTTGTAATGAAAATGTAATATCAATTTAGGGTGCTATTACTGGCTGGCACATGCTAGAATTGAGGGAGAATAAGAGATGAAACAGAAAGTCCAGTCAAACAGACTTACTTTTGTAATCCTAGCTTCTGCCACTTCACTATCTCCTGTGTTTTCCCTTTAGACTTCTCAGACTGAACAATCTTATCTCACATATGGCAGATGCCTTAATGAGCTCAGGGGGGCTAAAGCCTTTCACTATACTTACTGGGGAAATCTGTTACTAACATTTAGTATCATAGACATCCCCATTCACTTTTTTTTGTTGTTTTTTTGAGACAGGGTCTTGCCATGCAGTTCAGGCTAGCTTGAGCTCACTTTATAGCCCAGGCTGGTCTCGAACTCGCAGCGCTCCTCCTGTCTCCGCCTCCCGAGTGCTGGGATTACAGGCATGCGCCACCAAGCCTGGCCTCCACTCACTTTCTATTCCCTTCTAACTCACATGCCTTTATCATTCACCGATCGTATACCCATCTCTAGAAGAGACAAACTCTAGTTACAACTTTCCAGAGCAAGTGTGTCACTGGCTCCATCTAATAGACCAACTGCTCCATTCCCCTCCCCCAAGCCACACACTTGTTGGGAGAGAGCACCAACCTTACAAAGAACCTCATAAATCCCTACATAAATGTGCTGACTGCTGGGAGGCATGGGGAATCTAGTACGTTGTGATAAGTATAAGAAGGACATCAGAATATTGCAGTGAGATGGGGGGCTATAATGATCTTTTATGAGCATGGTTTTCTGAGGGCTGGCCCTCTTAAGACAGTACAGCCAGGTATCTAGAGATACAAATATTGGGGGGAGGAGGGGGGCCTTTGTGGGCGGGGGCAGTTTCGCTAGGTAGTTTAGGCTGGCCTCGAACTCACAGCAATCCTCCTTCTGCCTCAGCCTCTGGAGTGCTGGGGTTACAGGCATGCCCCACCATGCCTAGCCCGGACCTTTTTGTAGAATGTTTGTTGTATATTTACATCCCTCAGGCACTCTTTCTAGAGACTTGCTCATGCATTGTTTCCTAACAACACCCTGCCAGAGAAGACAGTTACATTTGAATTTCAAATAATATTTGGTACACGCTTAAACTAAAAAGTTATCTTTTCAGTGAAATTCAAATGGTTAACTAGATGTTCCACGTTACTATTTGCTAAACAAACCACAGTAACTCTACCTCAAGTTTCTCCGTATTACCCCTCTTTCTCCAGGAGAGAAAAATCTCAGCCACACAGCTAGAAGGCGCCAAGGCCAGAGAATCCGACTCCAGACATGTTCAGAGCGGTTATGCCATTGTCACTGGACATGCGGGGATGCGCATGTAAGGCTCTGGCCTTTATGACAGAAGCCCCGCATCAGCAGCCACGCAGCGGAGTGGGCTTTTGGTGGTCAGAAGGCGTCTCCATGGGACCCTTTACAGCCAAGCCTACGAAGTCCGAGGAAGCTTCAAAGCAAAACCTATTACCAAAGCAGCAGCGGTTAACGCAACTCAACAAGACAGCGCCCAACCATTTCTTTAGCTTCTTGCCGCAGCACCTTCACTGAGGCACACGGTAGGACAGGGCGGTCACTGGAACGCACTCCTGAGAGTACCCGCCCCGAGCCCGCCTCTTCATTCTTCCGCTCCTTTGATTTCAGTGTGAAAGACCTGAATAAACTGGTGTCCCAGGGGATTGTGTGGGACCAGAGACGCCGACTCCGCCCCGTGCTCTCCAAGAGCCTCATTTCTGCCAGGTTGGGCTGGCAAAGGCCATCACCACGCGTTGGCGGAGGAGCAGGAGAGACCCAGCAACTACGTGCGCGCGCGGGTAGGGGGAGCCGTACTAGGACGCGCTAGGCGGCTGGAAGACAGACGCGCATGCGCACACCGCGAGGTGCCGCTCAGAGAGCCCTGCCTCTCCTCTGGGCTGGGAATTCTACCCAGGACTGATTGGCTCGCCAGTTCCCGCTCTCCTGCGACCTTCCCGTCTCTTTCCCGTACTTTGCTTTAGGGCTGGATTTCCTTCAGGGCGGGAGATTTTGTCCTTCAGGCTGGGGCCTTGGAACCGCCCTCCGTGATGCCTCTGAGACCAAGACTCCCAGTTTGAACCACGAGGCTGGATTGGATTTCCCCGCGTCTCGGGCGCTGCGCTCCTAAATCCATCCCTTTCTTGGTCTCTCCGGGGGCGTGGTCACAAGAGGACTAGCATTTCCTCTGAGATTCTGTCTCTCGTGAGGGAAACTGCGATTTCAGGTAAGACTTCTCCCAAGTTCTGTGGAATGTAGCCCAGCCTGTTCTCCAGCGTCCCTTGGTAGTAGATAATGACGATGGTGATGGAATGAATTTCTCATTCTGCTTGCTTTAGGGACTTCGAGTCCTCTGGGTACTTACTAGATGATACATTTATTTCTAAAGCCCCTCTCCCAACCGACACTACCCCACACCCCTTCTAGAGGATTGAACGCTTCACACCCCCAGATCTTTTTCATTTTGAGGCAGAGTCTCGCTAAATCGCTAAGCTGCCCAATTTGGGCTTGAACCGGGGATCCTCTCGTCTCAGCCTCCCAGAGTGCTGGGATTACAGATGCGCACATCTTTTGAAAGTCTTGACGCCCGCAATCGCCTTACCTTGGAAACAACTCACACACTTATTTTTTTTTCTGTTCCCTTTCGCATCAGTTACTGTACTATTCCTAGCAGAACTTCTAGGAGATATTATCCATAATTCCTGCCTCTTAATTTCTCTTTTCTTGTTCTCTTTTGAACCCAACTCCAACCAGACATTAGCACCCATCGACCCACTGCTCTGTCAGAACTGCTCTTGATAAAGTTACTGATCATCAAAATTACTGACATGTAAAACAACTTTTAAAAAGCCCAAAAATATGAATAATCATCTTGCTAAATTTAATGGTTGACTTTCAATTGTTATTCTACTTAATCTGTTAGGATTGCTTTACACAAATTGATCAGTCCCTCTTCCTTAATATACTTTCTTAATTACCATGACATCATGCATTCTTAGTTTTCTTTCAATCCCCTGATCACTATTTTTTAGTCTTCTTTGCTGTTACTTCCTCTTCTTTCTGACCTCTTCATTTTAGAGCTCCTCAGGGGTTCATTCCTGTTCTTTTCCTTATTGATACTCATTTCCTTGATCATTGCATCCAGTCATAGTATATACTATACCAGTGGTTGCCACACATAACTCCAGTTTGCTCCTGTCCACGGAATTTCAGACTCATGTTTTATCTCCCCTTCCAAAATTGTTATTCCCCTAATCTCGTGTTAGAAATCTATCATCAAACAACCAAACTGGAGCCGGAGACACAGAATTTGCCTATTCTTTCCTTTTTCCTCTAAGTCCTAGCTGTCCTACTTTGACAGAGTTTTCTCACATGATCCTCTTCTCACCCAGGAATTCCCTTGGAATATACTCAAGAGACATAAAACACTGATGTAGCTGGATAAGGTAGCACATGGCTGTGATTCGGCACTCTGGAGTGGAGGGCTGGTAGCTTTGTGCAAAGGCCCTGGATTCAATCCCCACCATTGCAAATAAAAAGAAGTGACCTGGATCTGGGTCATTTGCTTATAGCGCACACTTACTATCCCAATTACAGCCTTGTGTGAGGATTTATTTCCCTGTGCAATCTCAGTAAGTAATACTTTGTTTTGCTTGGAGTATTCAGGCTCCACTGGGGAGTGGGAGAGGTTCTTCTCCAGTGGTAGCAGAGGGGAATGCATAAGCCAAGTGCGCTGCTTTGGCTGTTGAGAGTACCTGTCGGCCATAGGAAACTGGCACACACTACTGGATCTGATCTAGCTCTGTGTCTTCTCTATGTGAGCCAAAGTATTATCTCATTTAGTGTATGACTGTGTTGTTTTCTCTTTGGCAGCTCTAGTACCAAGATGCAGTGGGCAGAAGTGTTTAGATTCCTCTACCTGGTTATTGGCAAAGTGATGATCTTTTCTATCCTTTACATAGTTGTCCTCCTCTAGCATTGGTAACAGATACACGGTGCCAATGCTACAATATCAATGAACTTTTTGAGGGCTGGGGATTTAGCTCAGTGGCACAGTGCCTGCCTGGCAAGCTCAAGGTCGTGAGTTTGATTCCCAGTACCGGAAAAAAAAAATCAAAGAACGTCTTGAAAATTTGTTTAGTAAAAGAAGACAGTCACAAAGTCACATATTGTATGATTCCTTTTATATGAAATGCCAAGAATAAACAAATATATAGATACAGAAAGTAGTTTCTTCTCAACCTAGGGCTGAGGATGATGGTAGAGGGGGTTGGGAGGTGATAGTTAAGGGGTTTAGGGTTTTTTTAGGATAATAAATATTCTCATTGACTGTAGTGGTGGATGCACAATTGTGTGAGTATACTGAAAGCTATTGAGTTGTTCACTTTAAATGGGTGAACTGTGTAGTATGTAAATTGTCATTAAAGCTTTCAAAAATAGCTACCTAAGGGCTTCTACCTCTATAGCTCCTGCCTCACTCCACTTTCATCTCAGAATATTGCAACAACTTGCAGAATTTCCCTAACCTATCTGCTTTACCCTTGGAGTCAAAAGGATCTTCAAAACAGATCCGATTGTGCAACTATTTGATTGTCTGTTTTCCACTGGATAAAATCTGAACTTTATTTCTCTTTTCTAAGGTGTGAATGATCAAGCCTAAGGACCTGGCCCACATGGCCCATAGGCAAGTATTCTATCACTGAGCCACAACCCCAGTCCTTTTAAGGCTTTTTTAAATTTTGAGACAGTATCTCACTAAGTTACCCAGGCTGGTTCTTATAGGTATGTGCCCCATTGTGTCTGGCTTATTTGGCTCTTTTCAGATCTGCCTTGAACTTTTTCTTTGTGTTAGTGGGTGTGTATGTTTTTTAGCACAATTATTTTAAAGTCTATATCTGATAATTCTGGTCTCTGAAGATCTGTGGGTCTAGTCTTGCTATTTGGTATATCTTGTGACAAAAAATTTGAGCTGTAATTTGTGATCTTGTTTTGAGTTTTATATTTGAAAATCCTGTGTGGAGAGCCAGTGCTTATAGAAAGATTTTATGATTGCTTCTGCAAAGCGCTTCAGAAATATCAATGGTTCAAGACAATTTTTATGTTAACATCTTGGTTTGGGGTCCCAATATTTTATGGGATAAATGCAAACTCATGCCTAAGAATCTTTAGAAAGCACCTTGTTTTTCCTATTCCAGATATCCCACATACCATAGCCAGGTGGACAGATTCTATTCTGGATTATCTACCTTATCATATTATTCACCTCTTTATTCAGAAGTACAGCCACTCATTTGGTTCTGGTTCAAAACTTTTATCCTGTCCTCACTTGGGTATAAAGACCCAGTCTCCTAAATTACTACAGCCAAAAAATCATGTTCTTTGCCCCATTGCCTTAACAATAGATCACAAACGAACCACTTGTGTGTTTTATTTGTTTTTGGTGCTGGGGGTTGAACCTAGAGCCTTACTCACGCTAAGCATCTACTTTTATTACTGAGCTACACCTCTAGCCCAAGACCTACCATTTAATTTTATTTCTCACTTCGTATTTGGTTGCTGATCTTATTATCAGCTCAGCCCAACTTCATATTTGAAAGGATGATTATGTTTTGTTCAACATTTCTAGACAGTTTACAGTAGAATGATATACTATTAGGTTGATCATAATTCTAGAAATAGAATTGTTTCCAAGCCCCATTCACTGAATTATTCCTGAATTTCAGATTTACTACCTCTGAATTTCCCTTTTTAAAAAGTACTTGCGGGTGTGGTATGGTACACACTTGTAATCCTAGCACTCAGGCGGTTGAGGCAGGAAGATTGCTGTGAGTGGGACACTAGTGTAGGGGCTACATAGTAAATTCGAGGGCGGCCTGAACTGCATAGGGGGACCCTGTTTCAAAAACACCAACAACAAAAAAAGTCATTCCTTTCCTTTCATCATGCTCTATGACTGAGCTACATCTCCAGCCCCCAAATTTTCATAACAGAAAATACAAATGAATGACTTCTCTTTGCCATATCTGGATTGTTAGGCTGAGCATGGTGATACACACCTGTAATTCTAAAACTCAGGTGTCTGAGGCAAGAGGATTGCCCTGAGTTGGAGGTTAGTGTTGGGGCTACATAGTGAATTCAAGGGCAGCCTGAATGGTATAGCGAGAACCTGTCTCAAAAACAAAACAAAACAAATAAAAAACTGGATTTTCACAGCAAGTACCTAGCTTCTGAGGCTCCCTGAAGGGTCATCCATATTCTTTTTGACTCTGGGATCACAACAGACAGTTCACTAGGTTTTGTGGATTTACCAGAGGAGCCCCTGATAACCTGACTTTAGACTGACTCTTGTAATGGAAGGAAAAGAAGGCTATAAGGGCATTATTAGGTCAGTCAAAAAATTGGAATGTGGATGGTCTATCCAACAAATGAATTAGCTAGGTATTGCTATTTGCTTCAGGGTTTTTCAAAGAGTTTACTCATTTCATCTATGCTGTCAAATTTATAGGCATAAGAGTTTTTAAAATAGCAGTCTTATCCTTTTAAGCATCTGTAGGTTCTGTAGTGGTGTTCCTTCTTTCATGCCTAATATTTGTAGTGAGCATTATTCCTTTTTTGACAGACAAATAAACAGAGGCCAAAACAGAGAAGTGACTCAGGTCAAGGCTACTGAGCAAGCTGGGCTATCTTTACTTTCACTGCCTTGACTGGCTGTCAGGTCAGTCATCCTTTTTGAGGCTTCCTGCTCCAAGCTATGTGGCCTGATATACACTCTAACATGGAAGAGCGCAACTGCAGAGTCACAGCTCTCATTGCTTTTGGCCTTTGAGATGACTCTAACTTCTCAGACTGTTTTGCTGTCCTCTATCCCCTGCTTCCTCCCACAGGAAAATACATCCAAAGATGCAAGTATTAGAATAGCAAAATAGAGGTTGTGGCAGAGAATGGGAAGTGGCAGAGATGAGGCACTCCCTAGAAGCATTTGGAAGCCTGAGCTTCCCTGGAAAGAGGCCATTCTGAAGACTCCATGGTAAGGAGAGAACAGGATTACTGGCAATGAAAGCTTCCTCTATGGTACTACATTTTTTCTTTTAAATCTTATATCTTTATTTGTTGGAAGGAACGGTTATAAATTCCTAGACAACTGGGACTTATTTGAGTCTATACTTAGTCTTCTTAATTCTTATTCCATCATTCTGTCAAGCCCCATGTCACTCTCTCATAGCAAAGGCAATGAAAAGCATAGGGTCTTCTCATTTTCTTCCTGCTTTAACCTCAAATGGCGTCCCTCTTTAGTGGGATCCAGCAATGAACTCACCACATAGTACTGGGTCAAATGTGATGAGGCTTTTTCCTTTACTCTAAGGATCTCAATACCCAGCACAATTGCTGTTTGGGACTTAAGTCATCATCATGCTCAGCTGTGATCAGGGAATTAGAGTCAATCCCTACAGTACGCCTCCAGGTACTAAAATGCAAATGTTAGGTCTTCTGATTCTTAAATCCATTCCACCACTTATATTAATGTCTATATACATTAGTTTTGTGACAGTTGCTTTCTTCCCTGTTGTTTTCGGGACAGCGATGGTAGAAGACCAGGAAGGATGAGGACAAGGACAGACTCTTCAGGAGCTCACAGAGTGAATACCACTGGCTGCTGGGATATTTTCCCGCTCACAGAAATATGTATCTCTGGTGACCTTCCTAAAATATAAATTTTTGGGAAAAGGAACACATCAAAGTTCCTTACTTGTTGCAAAAAAAGAACCTCTCCTTTATTCACATACAGAAACAGGTTTCCAGAGCTGGGTAGGGAAAGGGCTTTGATCTGGTCCCTAGAGATGAAGCTCTAGATTCTGATGAGCAGAGCCTTCTCCAGTTGGGAATGAAAAGTTCTGACCTCTAGCCAGTCCCAAATTTGGGAGTGGTGGCAATGATGTGGGGAAATTCCTTGGTGAGGCAAGTATCAGCTTGGGGCAGGCTCTTCCAGGCAAGTTCTAAGATTCCGTATTTGGCAATACCTACAGGAAGGAAGGTGCGCACGTTATTCTGTCCAGGAAGGGCTACCACATCCTGGAACCCCAGAGTGCTTGGGGTATGAGAGCCACCACAAACCAGGCAGTAGAACACCCGTTCCCCAGGTACTAGCTCTGTGGGCGGCAGGGCCTCTTTATAGATGATCTGTTCAGGCTGAGTTTCCTCTGTCAGTAGCAGATCTTGTAGCAGCCTCTGGATTCTGGGGGACTTGAGCTGGTACAAGTCCATGAGCTGATGGAACTGTTCCATCCAAGCAGCAGTGTCTTTTGCATATCGCTGTTGCATCATCCGCAAAACATGGTACAGTGCCACAAATGTCTCCCATGGAGGTACCTTTTCCTTCTTTTGCAAGATGGGCTGTGTTTTCTTCTCCAACTTGGGCAATTTGGGAAATCTGCCCTTATCCATAAAAGCCCTAAGGTCCTTCTGAAACATTAGTGCCAGGGTTTGTTTGTCCACAGAGGCATGGGCACCTGTGAACAGGTCTCTTGTGGCAGGATGAAAATGTGTCTGCATTTCTCTGAGAGCATTGGATAACTGCTGTATCTGTGCACTCCTGTAAGGCTCACCTAGAAGATGCCAGTTTGTAGCCTTTGGGTCTATAATTGTCTTGGCAGCTAATGGGGACTTTGGTGTGGGGACAGTCAAAGGTTCTAGCCAACTTTCCTTTTCTTTTCCTTTTATAGGAGGAATCACTTTCAGGTATTTCAGACACATGGGCTCCTCCCAACTTTCCTTTTCCTTTCCTTTTATAGGAGGAATCACTTTCCGGTGTTTCAGAGTCATGAATTCCCTGCTGGGCTGCGTGGCCCTTGTGCTTTGTGACTGCAGTGCCTGCAAGTGATGGTGCACAATGGTTCCGAGTGTGGCTGGACGTAGCCACTCTAAGTTTCCCTCTGAAGTCAAGTCTTTGAGGAGCTGACACAACCTGTGGAAGCTGTCTCTGGAAAGCTGTTCCCCTGCTTCCATCCGTTCTAGGACCTGGTGGATCCACTCCGTGTCTGAGAGGCTTACCTGTATCTCTGGATGTTGTTTGTCAACCAGGATCCGGGCAACAGGGGGTTGTACCTTACTGTATCCTATCAGAGATGGATGATGCTGCAAAAGCCACTTCCACCTGGCATCTGGGAGTCTGTGTTTGAGTTTGCGAGCCTCCATGGTTTTCCTGAATATGCCGGACATGAATGGTGTCTTCATGTCCTGCTCTTGGGACACTGAAATTGTATCCAGCACGTGTAGAGGCATGTCTTTCCATTTTTCAAACAGTTCTCTTTCTTTATCCTTCAACTGTACCTTTGAGGATATACTCCATGTCTGGAGTGCTGTGGTTTTCTCTTCTAAGAATGTTTGTGTAACTGGCAGTGGCATTTGTATCTTCCCTCCCATATCCATACGTACTGAGACTGGTTGTCTGGAAGGGACTTTTAAAACTCCCAGTTTTATACCACTGCCTTTGACCCCAATGGGTCTTTCTCCAATAGAAGGGACCATTTTCCTTCTTTGTAGGTCCTTTCTTCTTTCTTCTTGTAGCTTAAATAGTTCTCTTTTTAAGATATCTTTTTCCTTGCCCAGTTTTACTGAGCTTCTCTCCTCTTCTGTCTCACTTGAACTTTCCAGCTCCTCCTCACTCATGCTTTTCTCCTCCTCCTTGAAACCTTCATCTTCTTCCACCTTGCTTTTCTTCCTCTTCTCTTCTTTCCTCTTTTTTTCCTTCTCTTCTTCTTCTTCCTCTTCCTCCTCTTCTTCCTCCTCTAATTCCTCTTCTACTTGTTCCTCTTCCTCTTCTTCCTCTTCTTCCTCCTCCTCCTCCTCAGACAAACTCTCTTGCTCTACTTCTTCTAGCAGGATTTCTATTTTCTTAGAAATGCTCTTTTCACTTTCTCTCTCATCCACTTTTCTGCGAAGCTTTCTCTTTAGGGTATCAATTTCTTTTGATTTTTTTCTCTTTTTCTGCTTTTGTTTAAGGGATAGGATTTCCTCTTCCTCCTGTATTACTCCTTCCTTTTCTACAGCCTCTATGACTTCTGTCTGTTCCTTGGCCAATTTACTTTTTTCTTCAGGCATTTTTTTCTCCTGGTCTGTAATAGTTCTTATTTCTTTGGCCATGTCTCTCTGCTTTTCAGCCAGTTTCTTTTCAGCTTTGGCCAATTTTGATTCTTCCTCAGAAAAATCCAACTCTTTGATATCAAGTCTGCTCTGTTCCTTGCTCAGTCTGCTCTCCATGACAACAAGTGACCGCTTTATCTTTGTCCTCTTTGTTTCTTCCTGGGTTATTTTCCTTTCATCACTGATTAGTTTTTGAAGTACTGTCACCTTCCTTTTTATGTTCAATGTCTTTTCTTTCTTAGCAACATCCAGCTCATCTCTGAGCATTTTCCTTCCTTGGAGCACTGCCTTCTTTGCCACAGATAATTCTGTTTTTTTCTGGGCCACTTTCTCCTGGTTTCTAGCCAGAGTCCCACCTGCTTGATCCAGTTTCTTCTGTATAGCATCCAGCTTCTCCTTCTTCTTCACCACTACCTCCCTCCCCTGCTTCAGCTTCTCTTCTACCTGAACCAGTGTCTCCTTGTACATATCTATTTTCTTCTTCGCCTGAGCTAATTGCTCTCTCTCCTGGAGGAGTTCTTCTTTGATATGGTGGAGATCGTCTTTCCTCTGAACCAGTTTTTCCTTTTTCTGAGCCAAATTCTTCCATTTCTGAGCCAGATTCTCTTCCTCTTGGGCTAGTCTCTCCTTGTTCTGTGTGAATTCTTTCTTGTTGTGGACCAGTTTTTCCCTTTCCTGGGCCAGTTTCTCTTTGTCCTCTGTCAGTTTCTGCCTTCTCTGAGCCAATCTCCTTACTTCCTTGGGGTCTTTTTCCTTGTTCTGGGCCAGCTTCTCTTCTTCCTGCACCAGCAGCTCTTCTTCCTGGGCCAGTGATTTCTCTTTCTTAGCCAGATTCTCCTCTCGCCAGGCCAGTATCTTCTTTTCCTCAGCCAGTTCCTCCTTTGCCTTAACCAGTCTCTCTTGTTCCTGGTTCAGCTCAACTTCTTTTGAAGCCAGGTCTTTCAGGTTCCTTTCCAGCTCCTCTAGTTCCTCGGCCAGCTCGTTTTCTTGCCATTCTAGACTTTGCTCCTTCTGCTTTAGTGTTTCTGCTTTCTGGACCAATAGTGTTTTTACCTCAATAATTTTCTCTATTCTCTTTGCTAGTTTCTCTTCTTCTTGAGCAATTTTCTTCAATTTCTTGGCAAGTTTCTTCCTTTTGTGGGCCAATCGCTCTGCTTTGTGGCTTAGCTCTTCTTCTTTTTGGGCCAGTTTTTCCTCTTTCTGGGCAAACTTACTCTCTATGCGGGCCATTTTCTCATCTTTCAGGGACATTTTCACATATTCTTGGGTCAGCCTTCCCTCTTCTTGTGCGAATCTTTCCTCCTTTTTGTCTTCTTCTCTTTTCTGTACCATGACCTTTATCTGCTCTTCCTGGATCTGTCTCTGCTTTTCTGTGGTGGCCAGCTCTGCTTTTTTGTCTTCTCTTTCTCTTTGCAGTTCCTTAGCTACTTCCTCCCGCTGTTGCCTTTTTTCTAAAGTCAGTTCTTTCTCATCCTTGGGCCTGGAGGAAAGTACATTTTCCCAGACCTTTTTCCACTCATCCAAACTCAGCTTCTTTTCCTTCCCCTCCTGCATTTTTTCCTCTAGAAATAACTTTTCTTTAGCCTCGGTTAATTTCTTCTCTTCCTGAAGGTGGATTTTGTCCTGGTCTTGTTTCCATTCTTCCCAGGATATCTTCCTGTCACTGTGAGCCTGTTTCCACTGATCCTGTGAGCTCTTCCACTCCTGCCAAGACAATTTCTTTCCAGCAACTGGCTTTTTTTCTGGTTCAACCACTTTCTCTTCTGCTTTTGTCATTTCCTCTACTTTCTTGCTCACATCTTTCTCTCCTTTGGTCATTTTCGTCCCCTTTTTACCTACTGTACTTTCCTCCTGCTCTGTTTTCCTCTCTTCCTTAGATATCTTCTTGGAAGATTTCTTTTCTTCCTTCTTTGACTTTTGTTTTTTCTTAGTTAGGTCACTTAGTTCTAAAATAATAACTTGCTTTTTCTTGCCTTTTTTTGGAACCACTTCCTGCAAGCCCTGCACGTCCCTTTCTTCCTTTTGCACTTGCCCTTCTTGCTCTACTGGTATCTCTTTCTTGTCTCTGATAACCATGTCCTCTCTAATTGCTTCTTCATGGATAAAACTTGGTTTCTCCTCTGGCCAAACTATATCCCTGTCAAGGTCCTCAGCTACATCCTTGGCAAGGTCCTCAGCTACATCCTTGGCAAGGTCCTCAGCTACATCCTTGGCAAGGTCCTCAAGCATACCCTTGCTTTCTTTCTTCAACACAGGGCAGATCTCCTGAAAGAGTTCCCAGCTGGGGCGCCGATCTGCCAGAATCTCCTGAGCCGTAGTCACTAACTCAGTGTTTAGATCTTCTGACATTTTTGTTTGGGAACCAGATATCCTCAGGGTCATAAGACGACATAGATCATCCCGCCATGAGATGCTATCTGCAGACCTATGGCCAGGCACTCCAGCAGCACCCCGCCCCGGAGGTTTAATTTTTGTCCTAATTGGTTCTTCTATTATAGTAGGGAAAGCTTCCTCAATTAAAACTTTTTCCTCTTTTCTTTTCTTTTGCTTCTTTATGGGTTTCTGAGCTGTAGCTTTCTTACCTCTTGTATCAGGCATTTTCTTTAGCATCTTCTGGGCCAGAGGAATGTGACCCTCTGAGACATGTATCTCTGAAGGTTCATAATCTTGAGAGCCCTTTAGACTACCAACTGAAAACCTGGAGGAGAAAGTTGTGTCCTCCATCTCAGGTGGCACAGTTTCACTCTGATCAATTTCACCTTCTACTGGGCCCGGCTCTGTGCTCATCTGTTTAAAGTCTCCCTCTTTCATCTTTCTGAGACCTCGCAACAATTTTCGCGCTGCAGGAAAAATCAGGAGATAGAGGTCAGGAAAATGGGAGGTTAGCTCTTCTCAGATCTGGTGTGAACTAAGAGAACTGCCGTGGAATAATGAGCAATAGAGAGGGTTAGGGTTTTTCTTTTTTTTTAAGCATTCTCTAATAGACATGTACTCATGATGAATCTAATCATCTCTAATAGACATGAACTCATGATGAATCTAATCATTACTGCAAACATGTTGTAATAAAAATTTTTAAAGTAAAATACAAAAAAGCATTCTTTGTATTCCTAGTGATTACCCCTCAGCAATACTAAGAGAGATAGCCCTTGGGATCATCCCAAGTTTGAGTAGAGAGTTCCTAGGAGAAGCTTCTTCAATGATGAAATCTTTCTACTTATCTGTCTTCGTGCCAGTATCAATTGACCTGTTTTAGCTCCAACTACCCTGCCTCTTAGGGACCCTGAGGCGTGGATGGGATCATTGCATACATACTGTGCTTTCTGCCCACTGCTCGGCCCCGTCTTTGCCCTTTGCTGCGCTTGACATCAGATTCTTCAGGAACAGTGGCAGGTTGTATAGAAGGTACAGAAGGCCTTGCGATATGTAAAGAAAAATAAAATTCCCTATCTTCTTTTGACAAGGTCAGGTTTTCATTCAGTCGCTGCTGCACTTGAGAGAAAAGGATTTGGAGATCTGTGGGCCGCATCCCCAGCAGGTGGTCCAGGGATTCATCCCCAATCATCTCTTGCCTATGAAGGTCAAAGGAGAGGAAAACCTATGTTGCATCAGGGACAGGAGAAAGAACAGGAAGGGAAGAACTGCTGTAGAACAGGCAGGGGGTTTGGCAAAGAGGCCAAAAGGAACAGTATAGGTAGAGGTAAATGATGGCCAAGAAAAAAGAAAAATCTAAGAAGCCAAGATGGCAGTGATCAGAGAGGTCTGTATGGGAGCTGGAAGAAAGAATGAAAAGTGGAACTTGAAGAAGACAAGGGACAGGCAGGAAAGCAAAGAAATGGAGAAAAGAGTGAATAGACAGGGGATCATCAAGGATAGTCTAGGAATAAAAAAAAAAAACAAAACAAAACAAAAAAAAAAAACAGAAAAATGAAGCCAGGTAAGCACCTATTATCCCAGCTGCTTGGGAAGCTGAGGCAAGAGGATCACAAATTTGACCCTAATCTGGGTAACATAGCCAGACTCCATCTCAAAAGAAGAAGGATTAGGATGCCTAATGAATAGAGATAAAAAAGATAATGAAGAAAGTTTGGAAAAATATAGAAGAGAAGAAACTCAGCAAGTGGTAGAGAATCGAGAAAAGCACAAACAACTTACTTCATTTCCTGGAAAGTCTCTTGTCCCTGGATCAAGTTTAAGAGTGAGGTCCTGGAGTGGATTCCAGTCTCAGGCATGATGTTGAGGGCCTTATTCCTCACTCTTTCATCCTTATCCATTAACCCTTGGGCCAGAGGCAAGGCAAAGAGATGAGTGACCATTCCTAGACGCTTCAGCCCTTCCCAGGCTAGCTCTCGGATCAGTGGGTTGGAATTGGTTGTATCATCCAGCAGACGGTGGGCAGTCTCAGAGCGCAGGGATGGAGACACTTGGTAAGACGCAAAGATCTGCCCTAGTGCGCCAATACAGCGCTGGTACTTCAGTGGGGAAGCATGGATCATAATATTGAGGATCGTCTCAACTAGGTTACTAATAGCTATTTCACTCATTTTTCTGCCCAGCCAACTGCGGTTTGCTGAGTCCATAAGGACACTGTAGGTTCCATCCTTGGATTTTCTCGTTTCTAGGAAGCTGTCATCCTCCTTCTCTTCATATTCTTGT